TCAATACGCATACGGACACGTATACGAAGAAATGATATTTCTTCATAATTAAAAAGAAATTGCACCCTGAAAAAGCCAGGAGAGCCGTCGCGTGTTCCTTTCCCGCAGTCCGTCTGACGCTGGGTTCTGTGACTCCGTGGGGTCAGCCGCCGGCTCGTGGGCAAGCCCACGGTCCCTCCTGGGACAGCCCACCCCGTGCCGAGAGCGGCGTGTCATGCTGTCCTTGCAGTCTGAGTGGCCTGGTGCCAACGGGCCATCGGTCCCTTCCTGAATGACCTCCACCAGCTGCTCCAGGATGCAGTCCGATGTTTGGGGCTCCTTGAGGGCCTACAACCTCCCCCGTCCCCTGGGGACCTGGGGTGGGCCAATGTCCCCCTCGGAGATGGCCAGCCACAGCCTGACTGCTCAGGATAATGGTTAGGGGCCTCGACACACCTGGGTCCGCATCCCAGCTGCACCTGGAACAGGTGTTCCATTTGGGGCAGATCGCGTATTACTCAGAGCCTTGGTTCCCTTTCCATAAGTGACGAAAACCTTAGAGATCCTATGGGGTGCCCTTGAGAGGTGCACGGGGCGAGCTTATGTAAGGACCCAGGCGGCATCCCGCGGGCAGCAGGGGTGGGCAGAGCTGCCGGCTCCCAGGGATGCGTTCTGCTTCTCCCCAGCCCATTCTGGATGTCTTGTGGGCTCTCTTCCTCCGTTCCTTCCTATTCTTCTTTTTAAAATTAGAGAAACCTCCAGAAATCATTTTAATTTTAAAATACTTTTAAGGAATTCGTTTCAAGCGATTAAACTCTTAATTTTAAGACATTTTAAGAAAATAATTTCAAGATGTAATTGCCAGTTATTTAAGAAAATAATTTCAAAATAATTTCAGATTTCAATTACTGTCACTGAAAATTCCACAGCCAGTGTCAGCGTTCCCATGTGTTTCCTTCCGGATTTTTTTCTGTTCACAAACCTTCTTTCTTGTTTTCGTTTTACCTGAAACGGATCAGACTCCCTGTATTGCGAGGGTAACTGTTTTTTTTTTCAGTCATTAACCGTTTGAATGTGCTCCCAAGCCATGTGCCACGTAGCCACGCCATCATTTCCGTGGCTGTACCCTCTTCCCTTGTGTGGACAGACCGCCCCTGGACAGACATCTGGGCTGTTTCCTTTCACTTTGCTGCGATAAACACCACAGCAGAGAACATCTTTGCACCAGCCTGTGTGCTTTCCCGACAGTTTCTTAAGAGAACTTCCTTCCGGTAGATGGTCGCAGGGACAGACCACATCTCTCTGAGGGGTTAGGCTTCTTCCATGGCCAGAATGAAAGCCCCTCCCCTCCCCACGCAAGGTCACAGCTGATGCGATCCTTGCCCATCTCTCTACCCTCTTGACACACTGTCCCTCTTCACGACCCTTCGCTCGCTGGCCTCTCTGTTCTGGGGACGCGTTGAGATGAGCGCCTTTGCACCCACTATCACCTGACCCTGAATCCCCCCGCCATCTGCCATGTATTCCTGTGATGGGGGTCCCCTTGTCACTCAGCCTGTCACACAGCTGCTGCCTCCCCTGGCCTGCTCCATTCCCATCACCCTGTGTCCCTCACCCCTGCTCTGCTCTGATCCGATCCCACCACCCTACATCCCTCCTCCCTGCCGGGCTCTGGTCTCCTTATTCTGAGCCTCACCCCTGCGCTGCTCTGGTCCCATTATTCTGAGCCTCACCCCTGCGCTGCTCCGCTCCCATTTCCTGGTGCCGTTTTGCTCCCAGGACCCGTCAGTCTCTGAGATGATCTCTTTGCTGTGTTTAGCTGTCACTTGCCACCCCCAGTTCTTGCCCGTGAAAGCAAGAACCTCAGCAGTTCTGTTAGCCCCGCATCCCCCACATGCAGCCAGTGCCCCGCACGTAGTAGGTGCTCAGCTGCACGCTGGCGGAATGATGGACACGTCGCTGAGTTCAGAGATGCGTTCAGAGCGCACTGAGGGATTTTTCCCAGTACTTTTTACGAAAGTTCTTGAAACCCTTTATTAAAATGGTCAATGCCTTTTAAGAAAATTGCCCGGACGTGCGGTGCCAACTGACACTCCCTTCTGCTGTGTGTGGGAGTTACAATGAGCCCAAGGAGGGCATTGGGACCAGAGGGTGAGGCTTCAGAACGGAGGGTGGGAAGGCTGGCTTCCAGCCGATCAGTCACACCCCCTCCCTGTCAAACACGCAGGGCCAACGACTCAGCCAGCCGGACTGGGGCTTGGTCAGTGTTTGAGGCAGAGACGAGTGGGAACCCACCCGAAGGCTTTGTGGAGTAGCCTGAACCAGAGGGATTCTCTGCCTGACCTAGGGGAGGAGCCCGACCCGCGTCACACGGGCACCCTCAGTGGCGTCTCTCGCTGGTTGATGTGTTAAGAAATAGACACCCCATTCAGCAGGTCTGCTTTTGCCTCCGAGGTGGATTGGCTCCTTGACGGGGGTGCTCCGCAGGTACCGGGCCCTTGTCCGGACGACAGCCTGCATGGCCCTCTTGTCCCGGGGTTTTTGGGGCCCTGTGGTGGGGAGACATGTCATCGATAGGACAGTAGTAGCCAGAGACACAGACCTTGCTGTTCTTCCCAGCGTGGCTGGTCCACCAGGAGGACTGGCCGAGAACCTGGTGGCTCTGGCTGGTTCTCCCAGGCTGTTCATTTGGGCAGAGGTTCTGGGGAAGTCGTGCAGCCCAGAGGCCTGAGGAAGGCCCTGGAACCTGAGCTTTCCAGAAACCAGCAGGGCAGCCGGGTAACCCCAGCCCCAGCATGGTTACGCTCTCTGTCTGGTGGGAGCTGCTGGCCTGGAGGCCGGCGGCCCAGCGTTCTGGTCTGTCTGGATGCCTGGCTTTTGCTCACAGCCCTGTCTTGCCAAGGGCTCCCATCGGATACCTGTTTCAAAAGTTCAGTCCTAGGGTAGCCAAGAACATAGCGCTGCCATGGGGAGAGGGGGAAAACAACCAGGAATTCCAAGCAGCCTGCTTCCCGAGGACTGCCGCCCTTCCCAAGCAGTCGGAGAGGGCAAAGGCCATCTGTCTGGTCCGGCAGTTTCAGCTGGAGGGGAGACTCCACAGGAAATCAAGCTTAAACCATGGCTCGGCTGTGAATCTTATGCTCCAACTCATTCATAATGAGCAGAAGGCAAGTTAAAACCCCATGTGGACGCCATGCCCTCCTTTTGAATGGCCGAGCACCAAAAGCCGAATAGCACGCCGGGCTGGCACGCGTGTGGCTGGACCGGCCGCCTCACCTGCTGTGGATGGGACTTGTCTTTGGGGGGGGTCTCCGCAGAGGGCAGTCTGGCAGGCTGCCCAGATCGCAGATGCGGATGTGTGTCCTGCTGTCCGCCATCCTGCCCCCTGGAGCCGATCTGTAGGAGCTCTCGTACACGTGTGGACAGGACGAGGCTGGGCTCTGTGGCATTGTGTGCAAGAACAAAATATTAGGGGCTCTTAGAGCTCCGTGACTAGGGACCCAGTTAGGTCTGTTGGAATACTTTAATAGGATATCACGCCACTGCATTCAGAGCATGGGCAAGCTCTTTGTGTCCCACAAGCTACAGGACTCGCAACGGGGGCTGGTGAGGACGCAAAGCCCCCACAGGCCCCCCACATGCAGCCGGTGGGGAGGAGGTAAGATGGGGCAGCTGCTTTGGAAACATTTTGGCAGCTTTTACAAAAGGCAAGCGTACATTTCACCTCTGGACCCAGCCGTGCCGCTGCATATCCAATAGAAAATTGTGTCCATATGGGCGCACACATCCACGAACGTTCCCAGCAGCATTTCTCGTCGATGCCCGAAGTGGAGAGAATCTACAGAAACCACAGAAAACGTGGCCTCTCCCTAGGATGGACTATGATTCAGCCATAAAAAAGGAGGCAAGTACAGGTCGCTCTGCTGTGTGGGGTGAGCCTTGGAACCCTCCTTCCGAGCCAAAGCAGCCAGGTGCTCAGGACACGTAGTGTGCGGTCCCAAGCACGTGACACGTCCAGGACAGGCAGATCTGCACAGGCAGAAGTCGCCGGAGCCAGTGGGAGGGGAACGGATTAAACCTGGGCGTGAGCAATCTTTCGGGGTGATTATAATCGTCTGGAACTGCTTTGTGGCGGTGATTGCGTAACCCTATAAAATTTCTCAGAATTGCCGGAGCGTACACGTACACAGGGGTGCACTTCATGGCGTGTTATACGTCAGGGCCGCTGGGGTTTCTCAATGTGTAGGTACATGTGTGTGTATTAGTGCGCCCACGCTGCGGGGAGGGGCAGAGGGAGAGTCTCGTGCAGACTCTGTGCTCAGCCTGGAGCCCGACACGGGGCTCGATTCCACAACCCTGAGATCCTGACCCGAGCCGAAATCAAGCGTTGGCCCCCGGACTGACGGAACCACCCAGGCGCCCCATCAGTAGATCTGGGTTCTTTTGTTTTGTTTTTTTCTTCTAAAGGCTTCAGTTCGCTGAAGGATTTAACCCCTGCCTGGAGAGGGGCTGTTACTAGCTGTGTGACCTTGGCTGAGTCCTTGCCATCTCCTGCTTCTGTTTTCTCACCTGCGAAACAAGGTCGCTAACGCGCCCACCTCTCGGAGAAGCGCTCGGTGTCTGGGCCTCGTCGGCATGCTCTGTTTCAGTAACCACGGCTTAGGCATCACGGTTACGATGCCATCCTACCGGCCGGTCAGCCAGATGGCCGTCCCAGTGGAGGTCGGCAGGTGACGCCAACCCCAGGCAGCAGTCTCGGAGGGTACGCCCAGTTCAGAGAGACTGGGGCCGGCGGATGGTGGAGTTCAAAGAAAAGAACTTCACAACCCTGCCTGACCTAGATTCAGACCCAGGCCCTTTTGCACAGAGAGTGGAACTTGCCAGGTGTGCCTGGCCCGGGGCAGCAGCTGTGTTTGCAGCAGCTGCTGGAATCCCTGGCGGGGATGGGGGCACCCCGCTCTCCCTTCTCCGAGTGAGATCTCCCAATCTTTCAGTAACGTGCCCTCTGCCTTCTCTTGCAGCCTGAGGACCCCCCGAGACGGAAAGGCCTTCCGGATCTTTGCTGTCAGGCAGTAAATTTCCAGTGTCGGGGAGAAGGGGGCGTGCGTCTTCAAGAGGGCTTCCGAGTTTTGCTTTTTATTTTTATTCTGTCATTTTGGGGGGCGGGGGGTTGGGCTGGGGATATAGAGAGGCAGGAAACTTCCTTTGAATGGCGTTCAGTGTCACACCCTTTGTGCCTTTGTCTCGAACCACATGGAGAAGCTGCCTCCTGGGGTCCCAGCCAGACAGCTGGTGACTGGTCCTGCTGGGGCCGGGGGTCTCCATCTGTGTGCCCTCTCCTCACGGACGGTCACCGAGGCGTTCCTCCCCAGTGCTCCTTGGTGGGCAGGAAGAGGGTTCCAGGCCCACAGAGATGGCAGGACTCGGAGCTCACGCCCGGGGGAGGCACGCAGGGGTGGGAAGAGGCAGAGTGAGCGCCGGAAAGGCGAGTTTCAGGAATGGAGTAGAAGGTTATTTAAAAACTTGGAAAACACAGTCCGTCCCTACCGATGGAGAAAAATGGGTGTGACGTTTGCTGGTCAGACACATGGGCTGGAACCAGGAGGGCTGGGGGAGCGAGGCCTGGGCCCCGCCCTGGCCCCCCGTCCGTGCCGGCACCCCGCCTCCCGCGGGCTGGTTCTGTACGCAGCAGTGCTGGCTTACTTAGAGCCCCTTAGTAACTCCCGAGATGTATCTCTTGTCTTCATCCTTCCTTTTGTCCACGTGGCCCATCTGTCTGCTGCCGTGACCTTTGGTCTCCTTGAGGACAAATGAACCAGGATCCTTTCTCGGCCCTGTCCCTCCCCTTGTGGCTCCTGGCTCAGCCCAGACTGGGTTATGCATCACCTTCCCCGCCAGGGTCTTTGCTTTGCGAGAGGTTCTGTTGGCAAACCAGCGCCCCCTCCCCAACTTGTTTTTTTTTCTCCAACTCACAGTTTCTGTTGGTTCCACTGAGGCATCTGTGAACAGCCAAAGGAGGGCTGTTTTCTTGCTGCTTTCTGAAAGCAGTGGTGGACTATGCGGTCCCCCTGCATCGGCTAACCTAGTTTCTAGCCACGGGGGGAAGGGATTCCTGAGTACATTCCTTGCCCAGGTTAGCAGCTCTGGGAAGAGGAACCGTTTGTGGTTATGAAACCCTCCTGCGGTGTAATAGCAAGAGACAGAAACACTCTGGAAGGGTTTCTCTTCCTGTTTTTGTGGAACACGTCTTGCCAAACGGCTCCGAGGAGCTCGGTGCTCTCTGGGTCCCGCTTTATAAAAGTACTTCAGGAGCCCAGACCCAAAACCCACAGTGAAACAAAATACCTTTTTGTAAATAGCATTGCTTTGCAGAGGCTAAAATCTCTCACTTTCGTGAACACCGGGTTTACGTCTGATTTCACCCTCCCTCGAAATATTTCAAAGGCAAAGGAACTAACAGATGGTTTTAAAAAACAAAAACAAAAACAAAACCACAGACAGAGCCAGACTAAGATGGTCCCGACAAGGAAGTCTACCTGGGGAAGTAAGCCCGGTGTGCCGTCCAGAACATCTCTCCCTCCAGCGCGCACTGGAGGTAAACAGCTTCCCTCCACCACCTTTAGGAACTGGGGAAAGGCCGTGCAAACCTTTGCTCCCCGGAGCTGCAATGAGCAGACCTGTTCTTCTTTCATGCACGGTGGGCTCGTAGTAATTCGTAGGTTTTGACGATTCAGTCCCAAATGCTAGAGCACGAGAATTCGGTCAGCCTGTTGCTTGCATGTCTAGTTACTGCCCAAAGATCTGAGTCCTTGGAAACTTCTGGACTCTAGGTGTTGTGCTGCTGGACGCTTGTTTCCTCAGCCTCTTCTCGACCACCAGGCTCTCATGGCCCGTGGCTCTGTCAAGACTGCAGGGTTGGGGCTTTTGGAATTTGCGACTATCCAGGGGCTCTTTCCGGAAACGTCCTTCCCGAGAGAGAATCTGAAATGTCGGGTGTGAGAGGTCCCCATCCTGTTCAACTCAAGGGCCCGGTTGCCGGACGCCCCCACAGCCGCCGGTCTGACAGGATCAGCAGCACAAGCCCGGAGCCGGAACGCGCGCTCCTGTCCGTACTCTGCATCATCGTGCAACTGGAACCGTTTTTCTCCCGAAAATGGAAACAAGGCCACAGAGCCCAAGCCCCTGTAATTGGAGACCACCTCTCATTTTGTCCGTCAACAGCACCCATCGTGCCATCGGCAGGTAACCCACAGGGAAAGCTGGTAAATCAGGCCAACGCTGTCTCTGGGTCTCTTGGCCCCAAAATGAAATGTCCTCATTTCCTTCAGATTTCTGCCCCATCCCATTCTGGTCGTTTATGTGGTCTGTAGGCTCACGTAGCCCGCAGCTTACATGTGTGCTTTTTTCTATGAAAAATGATGTATTTTACTACTTCCTGTGTACAAAAATTTACTGTAAGCGTGTGTGTGTGTGTGTGTGTGTGTGTGCTTCGCACGAACAGGGACCACGTTGCTGTCGTTTCAATAAAACCCGTTCGATTTCTGAAGTGTTTCCGTGACGTATCTTTTTTGGACAAACCTGAACAGTTTGTGAAATAAAACATTTAAAACCTCCCTCTAAGGCTCTTGGCTGTCTTGTTCCCAGCGCTTAGGCTTCTACCAGGAGCGCGTCCCGAGGCAGGGAGATGCCAACCGTGGCCCTATTTTCGGGAGCCTCCGGGGGAACTTCCACATGGTAAGTCAGAGGAGATGAAGAGAGGCCGCTGGCCGTGTGCAGACTGTGTGCGGGTGGGGTGGGCGCGGGGGCTTGTCAAAATGCGGATTCTGGCCCGGCGGCTCTGGGCTGGGAGCCTAGAGCCTGCGTGTCTCAGGACCTACGCGTGCGCTGCTGGCCCCGAGAGCACACGGCGTGTGTCCGCGAGGACTCGGCCCGGGCGCCCGCAGCACACCAGCTCAGACCACAGAGATTATTCCCTCCCCGTTCTGGCGGCCAGAAGGCCGAGATCAAGGTGGCAACAGGGTCGCTCTCTCCCGAGGCCTCGCTCCTTGCTTGCTGACGGCCACCTCCTCCCTGAATCCTGGGCTCTGGGCGTGCACCCCTCATCCTTCTGGGTCAAGGCCTCACCCTTGTGACCCTCATTTAACCTTAATTAACTCCTTGGAAGCCCCATCTCCAAATAGTCATGCTGGGAGCCAGGGCTTCCCCATCTGAACTGGGGGAGGGAGGGGACATCAGCCCCTTTCAGTAACTGCCGTCGTGTGTCCCTGTGTGTCCCAAGCTGCTATAGCCGTGAGGTGGGGGAGGGGTCTCAGGGGCTTGGCTCGTCTTTATGTCTATCAACACTTCTGCCTTTGTGTTCTCAGCCCTCGCTTATACTCTTTCCGTTGGCGGTGGGGATAGCTTTCCTCTGAAATGTGTAGATTCAGGCTTTGAAAATGCTGATTTAAAATATCGCATGAGCACTTGCCCCCAGGATTGTAAAAATCACAGACATTGGGTAATGACTGATGTCGGCACTCACTGGTTTCTGACAAGAGCATGGTCAAGTCCATGGAAATGACCCCGTTGGCACCACCCCGCGGGGCACTGGGGAGCCTCCCCCTCCACGCCCCCCGCCAGATCTGCAGCCTCTTCCTCCTGCAGCTAATTCCATCCCTTTTATTTCAGACAGGACGTTTTTCCATCCTAGAACGTCCATCTGGTTCTTTTCCTTATTTTCTAATTCACCATGAATTTTTTCCTTTTTTCTTCTCATTTATTGTGAAGATACTTTCCTTTATGACTTTAGCATATATATGTCAGCCAGTTCCTAAGTCTGGGTCATTGTGAGTCACTCACCATCGACTGCCTTTTCTCTTGAGCAAGAGTCAGCACATATCGTCTTAAAGGACCCAGCCAGTAAATGCTTTAGTATCGTGAGCTCTGGCATCTCTTTCATGAAGCCTCAACCATGTGGTTGTATTGCGAAGGCAGCCACAGACAGGCATAAATGAATGAGCCCAACTGTGTTCCAGTAAAACTCCATTTTTTTTTTCTTTAGAGACAGAGAGAATGCAAGTAGCAAGGAGCAGAGGGAGAGGGAGAGTGAGAATCTTAAGTAGGCTCCACACCCCTGGCATGAAGAGTGACACAGGGCTCGATCTCACGACCCTGAGTTCATGACCTGGGCTGAAACCAAGAATTGGATGGTCAACCAACAGAGCCAGCCAGGGCACCTGTAAAACTTCATTTTAATTTATTTTTTAAAGATTTTATCTATTCCTTTGAGAGAGCGAGAGTAGAGAGGGCATGAGAGGGGAGAAGGTCAGAGGGAGAAGTAGACTCCCCCGGAGCTGGGAGCCCGATGTGGGACTCGATTCTAGGACTCCAGGACCATGACCTGAGCTGAAAGCAGTTGCCCAGCCAACTGAGCCACCCAGGTGCCCCAAAACTTCATTTTTAAAAACAGATGGCCAGCCTGCAAGGCGTCATTTTCTGACCCCTTCTCTTGAGGGTGGACATTGTAAAAACATTTCCTTGAATGTCTTGTAATTTCAGATTCTATCTTGGGCATCGTGTTAATGCATCATGGAAACTAGATGGTTCTGCTCTGAGCAGGAAATTCATTGGTCTGGACTCAAATTCCGAACACTGGCTAGCTGAAATCATTCAGGTTATGTTGGCTCTCACTGCCTGCTGGGAGTCTGCTGTGTGCATGCACGGTTCAAGGGTCAGCAAGAGACTTGGACACTCCCTTCCCATGGCTCTCTCCTTTCTGGGGTTTCTCCTCTACTCTCTAGCTGCCATGTCCTCTGGTTCTTACCAGACATTCAGCCACCCCTGCCTGGTGCCAGCGGGCCTGTCTTCATGCAAAGAGTTGAAAACTGTGTGAGATTCATGCCGCGCTATCCTCTTTCCTCCCAACATTGACTCTCACGTTTCCACCGGTCTGCTTTTCTTGATGAACATCAGCAAGGTGTATTTTCTATTCTCTCTGCAGATTATGGTCTCCATGTATAGGATGGTTGGTTGGGTTATAACTCCCTGCCATTTCTGGAAGCAGAAACCCAAGTCTGTGATGTAGAAATAGCTTTCCCAGATGTCTTGGCCAAGTGTCTACTTATACCCCATTGGTCTGAATTGGGTTCCACAGCCTCTCCTGGCCATAAAGGAGTTTGGAGATGCGTATATTTTTAACCAAGCACATTGCAGCTCGACCTGGATAGGGGATCCTACTGAGGGAGAAGGAGGGAAGAGGCTTGGGCGAGCAAGGTGCAGCCCTCCTGGGAACTTATCACAGGGGCATTAATTTCTTGGGGCCACCGTAACCAATGACCAAAAATCTGGCGGTTTAAACAACAGAAGTTTATTCTTTCACAATTCTAGGGGCCATAAATCTGCGCTGTAGGTGTGGGCAGGGCCGCACCCTGTCTAAAGGCTTAGGGGAGACTCCGTACTTCCTCTTCTGGTTCTAGCGGCTGCAGACACTCCTCAGCTCGTGAGCACATCCCTCTGTTCTCTGTCCCATCTTCGCGCGGCCCTCTCCCAGTCACTGGGTGTAGGGCCACCCTAAATCCAGAATGCTTCCATCTCAAGATCCTTAGCTAATTATATCTGCAAAGACCCTATTTCAAAATATCCCATTTTGGGGTTTCAGGAGGTCATGAATTTAGGGGGACACTTCAGCCCAATCCAACAGGTAGAAACTATCCTTCAGGCTGCGTAAGGATAGCTCTTGGACTCCTCATCTCTCTGGACACCTTGCTGGTGGAGGCACTGCTGTTCCCTCTCTGGGATTTTGCTCGAGCCCCTTTTCAGCTCTTCTCCGGCAGCAGCACTCCTGGGATGGCTGAGTGGTTTGGCTTTGGCATCTGGTCTGTGCTCTGCCCTCTTTTTCTTCTTCTCCGGCTTATCTCGGCTTGAACCTTTGATAAGACACTTCTGAGGGGCAGGAGAGGAACCTGGAGCCAGCGGGCCTGGATTCAAATCCCAGCTCTACCACGCACGATCTGGGAGACCTCGAACAGGTTACTGAATCACTCCACCTCAGTGTCCTCAAAGGTGAACTGGGGATGATAATAGGGTTGTTCTGAGGCTCAAACACATTGACAACATTTTTTTTTTTTGGATTTTATTTATTTATTTGACACAGAGAGAGAGTGACCACAAGCAGGGGGAAAAGCAGAGGGAGAGAGAAAAGCAGGCCACCTGCTGAGCAGGGAGCCCCACACGGGGCTCGATTCCAGGACCCTAAGATCACGACCTGGCCCTAAGGCAGATGCTTAACCCACTGAGCCACCCAGGTGCCCCTAACATCATTTAAAATAAAATCACTGGGAGGCCTGGCACATAATTAAAGCTTTATGCACATTACTTGTTACTGTAACTAATGCCATTATTTTAACAAATGTGTTGGGCTTTCTCCAGGATTTTTTTTCCCTCTAAAACCCTCCCCTGGGCCTTCTGGCAGGAGCCCCCACCATTCTGGCTTCTCCCTC